TTGATCAGACTAAAAATTAAATATTTTTTGTTTTACCATTTCCTACCATTTTGTTCCCACATGTAATGGACATTATAGCGGTCGACCGCACCAGAGGCGTAATAGAGGAGCAAGGCTATACAACCTAATGCCACACAGTCCCCGGAGCGCTTTAACCATTTATCTTAATTCGGGTGGTGTACCGCTAGCGACGTATCTTTTTTGGCCACCCTAACGTCACACAGTCCTCGGCACGATACGAAATATCGACTTAGATCGGAACCTTAGGTTTGGTTAGATGCCTAGATTTCAGTTTCAATATAATTTCTCTGTAAACTCTATGCTCTGCCATGCACTATGTGTAATTTAATATCCATTACCCATACTAGGAGGATTGAAACAATTGGGAAATCCGCCATTTTGTACCGGCGATTATCTTGGATTTGTAATCTTTCATAGTGTACTGTATTCTACTAGTCAAGCCCTTTCATTTGATACCCATATTAATGGCGTTGTAAAAAATATGTAATCCGGCCTTTTGCTTTTAAACAGGGTTGCCAATCAGCAAAAAATTTGTTTAAGCAACACATGCAAAATTTTGCAGTATTGATATCAAACGAAAAGTTGTGGTTCAAAAATACTTTTTGTAGAGTTGCCATCTATCTAAACAAAGTTAACTTAATGAAATATTAGTTTTGGCAGTCTTCGAGAATTTGCTGATCAACAGAAATTATTGCATCCTGAACTTCCATTCTCGCAGGGATTATGCGAAAGGTAGATAATAAAAAGCGGTAAAGTGATCCCTCTGACCCAACGGACCCTCTACTCTTCACAACACTTCTGCTAATCCTAAATAACTCAGAAAGCTTAGAGAGCTTAGAAGGGCGATAGAAAGTGAATTGTTTCTTTTTGGTCTACTGTGTGCTTGATTCTGTTCTGGTCTTCTTGAAACGGTACACTGGAGTCCCTTTTGCTGAGTTGCTAGCTTTATGTAAAGGGCTTCACATTCCACACAGAGTCCAGTAAGATTGCCAGTGATAATCCTGAGTTTTCTTTAGAAACTTTTACCTTTTCAGGATATAAATCTCAATAAGTTCTTAGCTTCTTCGTAGGTACAGCTAAGTATTGTATTGTTATGTTTTTACGTTTGTAACTAAATATAATTTTTTTTTGCTGTAGGCAAAGACAAAAGTATTTTCTTGGCGAGTAGGGGAATCGATGACAACAAACAGTAAATACATGAACAATATTGATTGGAGCATCGATAGTAGATAAGAAGAGTAGTAGGTATTAGGGTATTAGCGTATTCGACTATTCGCCTTTTTTCCAAAACCGGTTTTCGAGTTATTCGAAAAATGTTAATTAAAAAAAAAAAATCGGTTGCCGAATTTGAAATTAAGAAAAAACCGGATAACCCGGTTTTATTTCACATAGTTTTTATAAAGTGAAAATGCTTGTCTTGTTATGAAGTCATGACCAAAAAAATACAATAACTTAACAGTAAAGATAGCTTTTATTAAGAAAAGAGCAAAGCAAAATAAGTAAAAAGCTTTTTTATATCAAAATTAAACAAATCAAAATTTGTGAAAAATTCACGTTTGCTCTTTTTTTAATACTTTATTGCATTTTTTCTGGCTTTTTTCGGTTTTGAGTAGTGCTCTTGCCGCCGTAGCCGAGTGCTTAGCCTATTGTCACTAGGGAGATTCCTGCTTCAATTTCTGGTTTCAGCAACATCAACAGAAGTTTTTTCAAGCAGCTGTCGCGCTCGGCAAACCTTCCAATGTACTTCTGCCATAAAAAAGCAGAACTCGAACGCGAAGAGAAGCTCGGCCAAACATGTAGAAAGCGTTTAAGCGCCAAGCATTTGTTTATTAGAATCAAATATGATATACTGTTCATCTCCAAATAACCTAGTATATAATTATGAAACTATTTACGGGCTTCGCTTGAACTGCAAGACTTCGAAAAACCTAAATTTTTTATTCAGAGTTAAAAATCTGGATGAAATGAAAAAAACCGGTTTGTTCGATCGTAAAATCCGGTTTATTCGATATTCGCAGTCAAGATTTCAAAAAACCGTTTATAGATTTGCAAAAAAAAACAATGGAAACCGGTTGGGAAAAACCGAGTTAACCACCCTAGTAGGTATATACTATTTACGAAGACAAGTATACGAAAGAGCACGCGCTGAAAATTTTTTGGTAGAAATTTTATCAAATAACAAACACAAATTTTTGAGTACTATGTAGATATGTGCATACAAGTGAACGATATGGTTCGTTTCTTTTTTCAAGTGGGCCGCATGGGTAGATAAAATAAATTTGTTAGTCAAACTTCATATCACAGTAAGTAGTAGAGACCTTAATTAAAACTAAAACAACTGTAAGATAAACGATAGGCACGAACTATTATTATTATTATTTTTTTTTTGTATTTAACCCTTTGATGGCCGACTTAAGTTGAGTGGGGCTAAAACTTTGAAGGCATATTATTGTCGGTTAATTTCTTAAATATAAAGTGTGTGACGTTCAAGGCAATAAACTGGCTAAACAGTTAGCGCCCAGTTGGATCGGGGCAAATCGTAAGGTCAGGAATAGCGGGAACCGTCGGAAGATTGTTAATTTTCAGATCTTATTATTCTTCTTGATTGGCGCTGTAACCGTCTAAGTGATTTTGATTGAGTACAATAAAGCACGCCAGTCGTTTCTCTTCAGTGTCAACTGACGCCAACTTTAAATGCCAAATAAAGCGAAATCCTTCTCTACCTGGTATGTCTATTCCTCTATTACCAGCATCGCGACCCGCCTTGGAATAATTTAAGAGTTAGAGCGTCCCTGCCCGTTCGTACGACATGACAAAGCTGGCGTAGCCGCTGTATTTTAATTCCCCGCTGTATGACAATATCTATTTTTGGCTCAGATTTTGAAAAATGGTCGAAATACATTCCTTGCCCCTTCAACAAACTACTGATATTCATCAAAGAGTCCGGTAAGTTTGTGATCCATGTCGGTTTTCCTTAATCGCAACAGTTACGAGGCTTCCCACTTCGTAGACATGTGTGTCGAGCTTACTTGCCTTTTTATGAATTTTACAAGAACGGATAAAAGTGAAAATTTATGTGTGTGGACCTTACACAAGGTATCTGGCTACGATTAACTGTTTGGGTTTGGTAAACCACTAAAATAATATAAGTCATGTTCTACAACATTTCCAGGTGGATTTGGGAAAGCGCCAATTGGAGTTTAGTAAGCACCAATTGAATTTTTTAATGATCCATACTCTATACATAGACTTTGTTCTGACTGATTTTAAATATTGCTGAAAGATCGGATTATAAACCGATGGCTAAGTGGAAGATCGCCCTATCTCGGCAACCAGTTCGAAAACGCCCTATTTCAAAAAATTGTTCAACAACGCTCTATTTTAGAATTTGGTTGAAGAACGCCATATTCTAGAATTGGATTGAAAAACGCCCTAACTCGGAATTCGGTTCTAAAACACCCTATCTCAGCTCATTTTCAATGTATTTTCGTTTGAGATAGGGCATTTTTGAACCGAATTCTGAGATAGAGCATTCTTCAAAAAAAAAAAAAATTAAATCTGAAATAGGGTGTTCTTCAATTAAATTCTGAAGTAGGGCGTTCTTGAAATGTTTTCTGAGATGAGGCGTTTTCGAACAGACAGCCGAGATGTCGATCTTCCATTCAGCCATCGAAATAGTTTTTATTGGGTTTTAACAATATACGTATTCAAATTAAAAAAAAAATGTGTGTTTCAAAAATCCAATTGACTTTTTCTTAAATCCAAATGACCCTTTCTAAAATGAAAAAAAAAAAATAAGCTACGTGAAAACCCGGTATATTCAATTGAAAAACCCCGGTTTACCCGGAATTCGAAAAATCAAGATTTCAATAATACCGCCCAAAAATATTCAAAAAAACTGGTTGAACCCCGTTTGAAAAAACCGTGTCCACCATCACGTTCAGTAAGAAATCGTGTCCCGTAAATCTACTCCTTATACTTATATGAACGTTTAAAACCTTAAACCACTGACACTACATACGAGCAGATTTAGTATTAGTTGCGATCCCGCACGAATCCGAACTGATAAGAAATAGTCAGACGTGTTTCCCCATACACACCTTTTTAAGTCTAATTAACGATAACTGACTACAATGTAGAGTCTACTTACTTTGAGCTTGAACGGGTAAGAAATGACGCTATGGAATAAACATTTGTGAAACATAGTAACTACTCCTAAAGGACCGAAAGTAGCTTAGCTAAGTGTAAGGCAAGCCAGAAGCTTAGATGTCCTGCCGTTCATAATTAACAAAAATTTTAAGTTTTATACATATTCACTCAGCATGCAGAATATGAGCTCCAACCAACTACATATTTACAATCCGCCATAAACCATCAGCAACATTGAAAAAGCCAATCAAGAAAACCTTCTTTTACATTTGCAGAATCAAATAATTGGGAATTGGGCGCTGCCTACAAAGGGAAAGAAGCGAAATGAAAAACATTTAACTATCGCATAATTTGGCGCTAAAAACGATAAAGAAAACAACAGCTACAAAACAAATTGCTTTTCATTTATGTGCTTTTCCCACGAGAGAGCCGCTAAGCTAAGGAACAGTAGCCGCCAAAGGGTGGACCGAAATGAACCTGTTTGTGGGGAAAGCAAAAAATAATAAGCCGCCCAATTGCAGGAGAACAGCCGCAAGAGAAAGACGTCATGAGCAGCAGCATGTATGGCTAAAGCAACTTAAGAGTAGAAATGCAATTTATTAAATGTATTTACGGCAATTAATCTTCTAAAGAGTGCATACACGTACTTACGAGTACAGCTTGAAACTGTATTTAAAAGGAAGGGAATGCGGGGTTGGGACGGGAAAAGAAGGAAGGAATGTTTAATGAAATCAAGTTAATGCGGTTAATGAGAAGAGTCGATTATGAGCCATAGCTTTTGGAAAAGGAAGCGCAATTTTGAATATACATTTATCCACACAGCACAAATATTCTTGATTTTTCTTTTAATTTTCGTATAAACTTACAAATAATTAAGGATTGCATAGCCCAATTAACGAGTAGATAATTGGGATCATGTTGCTAAAGTCTAAACCTATTAAAGCTATTAATAGTCGGGTAAGTCATTGGGCACGGTGCCGTCCAAGTCAAAGCATCGGCAAGTGCAGGAGCTAACAGGGCATTCAGAATTTTGTCTGTACAATACATAAGAAAAATACACAATGTATATTATAGAATGGAATATATAAATATGTAAAGTAGTACATTAACGCGACTTACTTGAACCACTGCATCATGTGTTCGGTGTGGCCGCCATGTCGACATGTCTGACACCAGGAGAACCACTTCGAAAACGGTTTCGATTGCCAGCCCAAACTTTCGTGGGTCGCATCGCTGGGTAGCGAAATATTCAGCGTAGTGCCCATGTGTAGCAAGCATAGAGAGCAACGCGGTAGTGGTTTGCGGCAACTAGGGCAGGAGGAAAGCTGCGGAGTGGTTAAAATGAAAAGGCTGTTTAGAAAAAATATACAAATTTTTTTTTGCCGCATATTAAGCCTACTTTATTCACATTCGAAGATGCACTGCGCATGCGCGCATCCTCCTGCAAAGCACTCGACACTGATTTGCCACAAAAGTTACACGAGAGAAAAACACTGCGCGTGGTGCGTGTACCGGTGCGTAGATTCTCAATTTTTATATCCAACTCAGCGCGTTTCTCCCAAAGGCCCCACGAGTTTAGAACATCTAAATAACTGTGTAGCAAGCAAGTAAAATAAAGTTATATTAAAGTAACAAATTCTGGTGTTAGCTTCCCCAACCTGCTAATCCAATATTGTATGCGATTATCTGCGAAATGTTCTCGATGGAAATAATTGATAGCTATTAACGCGACTGTTTGTACATCGGATGTTAAATCCAAGTAAGCTTGCAGTATATTGATGCCATCCAGCGATTCACCAGTGAGCAGCAAGCCATTTAGGTCACCGCTTTCAATGGATTTTTGTATTAACTGCTTAACATAATCTGCCAACTTGCTCTCCGATAAGTATTTGCAAGCGAAAGCCACGCGATCGGCAAGTGAGATGCCATCCTCCGTCTGTAACCGGTAAATTTTATTTATCAATTCAGAATTATAACAAGTATCACCCTTTTAGCTTACCAGCACCGCATCGAAGTTATCATTCTCGGTGGTGAGGAATGAGAATATGGCACGCAAATGTGCATCCTGTATTTGTTTATTGGCATTTGAGCGTTGATTACGCCAAGTCGAGTTGCAACGATCTGCATTAAAGCTGGATAGGGCAATAGCGGCAATGCGAAACATGCTGGCATCGTGAGGATCCTTCGAGTTGCGTGAGAGATCTGCAGCTTTTGAGAGTATGTCGCAAGCAAAAACGATTTTCAGATGAAATACGCAAATCATGGCAGCGCGACTGAACTCCTGCAATGAAATACAAAGGAAAGACGGACAGTAACAACAATTTAATTCAATTAATATTTCAGTTAATAATTAATCTCACCTTGTTGTCACATAGCCCGTTTACGAAGCGTTCCAAGTCCTGTTCGAACACCCAGCCGCAGAGTTTCAGCGCCACATCGCGTTGTTCACTTCTGCAAAAGGAAATACATTTAAGAGTTATGTAAACAATGCTACATCTCTAAAGAATTAAGTGTCAACTTTACCTGTAGCACACCAAATTATTGGAATTTATGAAATCAGGCCATTGCAATACACGCGACTCAATACGCGATGAGGCCATCAACGCCTCTGATGTGTGACCTAAACTAATGCCCAAGATGGTTTTCAAACCCGTTAAGCGTTCTTCTCTATACAAATTACTCAAAGTTAGCCAAACACTTTTCAAATATGGTGTCAAAGGCAACCCGTCGACATGCCTATCTGTCTTCAAACCATAATCACTAAGAGCACGCTGATAGGTTTCTTCAACCAATTCTTCTTTGGATAAGTTTTGGTCAAGAATCTCGAAATTAAGCGCCGAATTGAGTGTGGATGTAGATATAATAGATGAAGTGCTTTGGCTGCTATTTTGACGTGTTGGAGTGCTTGCAATGGCTAGTGGACGCTGTGGCAGGAGCGGTATTTTTTTATGGTTGCTATAAGTGGTGAGCAGAGAAAGCGGTAAACGAATTTCCAAAATGGTCCCTAAAGTAAAAAAAAAAAAACAAACAAAGTAAGCTAATAACGAAGTCTCAGATTTTTAAAATTGCAATAAAAACCTTGTTCCGAAAGCAGCAGAGCACGCTCATAATCCGTGTTGTGCCAGGAGATATAGGTGAGTGTTGGCGGTTTGTTTGAAGCATAGTACTTAGCTTGGAATGGCTGCAGCTGTCGCTTCACATGGTACACCTCCCGACTGCTTTCTGCGTCCACGCTGCGTATATCATAGAGGGTGATGAAGGGAGATTCACGTTGTAGCGAGGTAAGTAAGCTGGATCTATAAGTAAACAATTTTGTAATTAGAAGCCTTTTCTCCATAGATTAAAGAAGTTGTCGCACATACCGCGTTGGACACCAACTAAGTTGTAAATGATTCTTTCCCGATTGTATGGTCTTCAGCGGATGGTCCAGCACTCGTAAATCCCATATCATAATTACCGAATCCAAGTAAGAACAGAGATAGTTCCCATTTGGAGCCACAGCGAGGCCATGTACCATTTTCGTTTGTATGGATTGGCAGGTAGTGTTGCCCTCTATTGAGAGAGTAAAAGTATGAAATACAGTTACTTATTATGGGAACTTGGTTTTTTTTTTTTGTACTAACGCTTTAAGTCGAACAGCTTTATCTGCTTCTGGCTTACACCCGCAATAAGCATGCGATGATTTTTGTCCCAGCACATTGAGTGGGCAGACTCCGAGTGTCCAAAGAAACTTACTGTAAGCATATAAGGAAAAGAGAAAAGTATTCCTTTGTAGAGTGTGTAGATTGATTCAAAGCATTCTAAAACGAAAATAAGCGTGGACCTTAATCCAGGTTTTGTTACTTGCGGGTACCTAAACCCATGTAGTTTCGTATTAGATTCAAGCTTGCTATCTTATGATGCCAAGGTTTTTATACAACCGAAAATCGTTAGTGCATCTGCATTGTTTTCACATACGGCATATAGTAAAACTCACCTGCATCTTTGGGAACACCACGTTCTATATCCCAAATTGCAATACATGAATCGGAGCGATGACGATCATGTCCTATGGCCAATACATTGTGGTCAAACTCATTCCAGGCTAGACAAAGGCACATGCGTTGCTGGCGTGGTGCTGGGTGCAGGGTGACAATTACAAGCAACAATTAGACTAAATATACAAACTTGTACAGTGTTAAACTCACTAAATTCCCAGCTATTGTCGACAGTTTCATGAAAATCGCAAATACCAACTTTTCCATCACCCAATCCAACGGCGATAATCGGCCGGTTTTTGTGGTAGGACGGCTGCACACAACGCGCATACTGGTACCGCGTCTCTGTGGCTAAGAAGTTAGCCGATATATTTGGCAATGCACCTACATATAATGAGGGAATAAAAGTTATTTAAACCAAATAAAGATAATTCACTAAGTTGCGCCCTCAATATCCAACATCTGTTTGACCTGATGAACGCGCTGGTACTTACTTCGCCGGCTATCATCGTGTTGCGTGCGCTCATAAAGCTTAATTTCTTGTCCCCAGGTTACGAATTTGTCTGGAAATTGCGGAAACCAACTCAGTCCATGAATTGTGCCACTCATCATTGCTTTTTCCACTGTGCGTCCTAACTTTTTAATTGTTTACACATTAACCTCTTATCAATTAATCAGCTGTTGTCACTACGGGATCGGTTTGGGACTAAATACACTACCGGAATCGGTTTGTGACCAAATGCACTAACCGGATGTATGGAAACGTCATTGCCACACGACGTAAATTTTTAGTGAATAACTACATTTTAGTGCAGTTTGGAAAATTAGATAGGATAATTTTAACAACAATAACGATTTCTCATTACTTTTGAGCTGAAAAATATTTATATAACCAAATAAAATTGCTTATGTTTATAACATAGCATCCACACAGGGTGATGCAACCCACATTGTAGAATATAAGTGACAACTATTACCCGCTAGGTGGCACCGTCAGCAACTGACGCTAAGCAAACATAGCAGAAATAGCGGTAGTTTTTAATTTCTGCCGACACGTGTGCTTTCTGTTCGGTTTGTGAAAAATGTGATATTTCCGTTTAAAGGAGTTTCAAATCCGGTTTTATGTTTAAATTTGTGCTCAATAGTAAGCTAGCCTTGCAAATGCTGTGAAATATAAGTGCGGGTAGAAGTTTAATGTGCGAAATCAGAAGCTGTGTTGGGCGCAGTGAGTGCTTCAAAGTGCATATTGTGCATAGAAATGTTTGTTTTCATTTAATTGTCCTGCGCTGGCAGAATTCCATATGAAAGTGCCCTGCGCTGGGCATGACTGCTCTATATAGTGATTTAATCCATCATTAACCAATCTCTCTTGAAGGGAGTCTCTTCATGTTATCAACTACAGAGATCACAACTATCGAGCCACAGGGCTTCTCCGATTGGTACGCATTGGTAAGTTCACTCGAGCAAAATTTTTTCTTGAAACATTCATGTGTATGTATGTGCATACCAAGTAAAAAATCGGGAATCGCTCTTAGCGAATAGGTGTTTTAGAATGTCTAATACGGCTTTCCCACGGCACCCTATTTACAGTATCGGTCATATCTATAGCACGCCATTTCAAAGTGACATTGTGTGCCACTTATGCTTATTTATTTATTTTTAAGAATTTTCTATTAAAATACAGTTCTTTAACCCCATATAAACCCAAGTTTTACAATTTGTAGAAAACTTCAAAAAAAATGGCAACAAATTTTCACCTAAGTTTTAAACTGTTTTCTCGGAAGTGTTAGAATTTTTTTGAGTACACAGGTTTTTAGCCACTGCAATTTTAGTCTGATAATATTCAAATTTCAAGTGGCTACGAATTACCGTTAATTTTTTTTAGATTTTTTTTTGTCGCATTGGCTTTCATATAATGAATAAACTCAATTTATTTGTATATGGATGAAAACCGCAACACCTTTGGCGAAAAAAATTCTAAAAAATCAACGGTAACTTTCAGTCACTTGAAACTTGCACATTATCAGACTAAAATTGATTGGGCTATAAAACTGTATATTCAGAAAAATTCCAACACTTCAGAGAAAGGGGTTTGAAATTTAGGGGGAAATTTGTTGCACTTTTTTGAAGTTTTCTACAAATTCTTAAACTTGGGTTTATATGGGGTTTGTAAGAGAAAGAACTGTATTTTAATTTAAAATTCTCAAAAATAAATAAATAAACATAAGTTGCACACAATATCAATTTGAAATGGCGTGCTATAGATATGACCGATACTGTATGTATTTCGGTATCTCATTCGTAATTCGCATTCCAATTACCCTTCGAATGACGTTATTCGCCACACAAAATTTTGGGAGCAAATTAACTCATTTGTTGATAATTCAGATCGAATTACTATAATAGTAAGGCACGACCTTCACCCTAGGGTTGCCAAACGTACTATAATATAGAGTATTGTACTGCGTACTTAATACGATTGGAATAAAATATAGTATGCAAAAATACTATATTTCCTGTATTATAAATATTAATATATTTCAGTAATTTGCAAGAAAAAATGTATATTAAAATGGGTGAACTGTATCCTGAAGTAGAAATATTGAAAGAAATATTCTTTAAAATAAAAGGTCATACTGAGTTTATTAATATATCCATAGTTAAAAAATTGCAATATTTTTAAAAATACTTAGAATGAATTGCCAAATTTACTTAAATTTATTTCGTTCCTGCTCTGTATTCCTGCTACCTCGGCACTCACAGAAAGAGTTTTATAAATGATGAGATGAGAGAAACAAAGCGACTAACTCACTAATAAAAATAAACTTTTGACTTATATTAATTTTGCGTTAAAGCATATGATACTTACAAAGATATATAAAGAAGAAATGCATAAGAAAAAAAAGGTGTACACTTAAAAAGCGTTTTAATTATTTCTTTTAAATATAATACTACATATGTATATTTATTTGAAGTGTACTATATTTTTTTTTTTAGTTTCCTAGAAAATGTTGGCAGCCCTACTTCGCCCATCTGTTCAATGGATGAAATCTACTTTAACTGAAATTTAACGTGTTAGGAAATATTTGGCGAGTGGGTTGACTGAACAAAAATCCTGGCCAGGATATTTTTAATGAAATATTAAAAATTAAATTTTTTTTAAATTTTGCACTTATTTGTTTAATGAACAAATTGAATATACCAATCGAAAGCATAAAGCCTATTGAATGTGTTAAACAGATGAGTGAAAATTATTAGTATTACCTAGCTGTTCATACCTGCCAACCCGATAGGTAGGCGAGTAAAAAAAAACAGACAACCCAACGTTTTCACATTCTACATATAGGCATAAACTTTGGCTTAGCTTTGAGCAAAATGTATATTTTATATATTTTTGTATATTTTGTTTATAGATATGTGGTACATATTTTTAGACTTCGTTTTCTGTATAAAAATCCGCAATCTAATTATAAAAGGAGTGAAAAAAAAACAAAATATTTAAATTTATCTATGTCATTTCGATTAAAAAGGGACAAATTAATTTGGTATTTTAATTACAGCGGCGCTGTGGTGTAGTGGTTAGCAGTGCGCGCTACCATTCCGCAGGGCCTGGGTTCAAGCGTGGTTCAACCCAACATCAAAAAATAAAAAAAAAAACCAAACAAATATTTTTCTAATAGCAGTCGCCCTTCGGCAGGCAATATCAAAGCTCCGAGAGCATTTCTGCCATGAAAAACAGCTTCTCATAAAAATACAGACGCCGTTCGGAGTCAGCGTAAGACCGTAGGTCCATCCGCTTTGTGTGACAACATTGAGGCGCACGTCACAAACCGGAGAAGAAGCTGGGCCAAACACTAACATATGTGTAAGCGCCAATCTATTATTATTAATTACAGCATTTATGTTTTGGAGCAATTGGAGAATCATATTGGAGATCAAGTTGACTACTAACTAATTTTCCACTTGCGCTACTGTTGAGAAACAACGTTGGAGATTTTAGAAATACTTTAGTTCTCAACCTAACCCTAAGTTGAGCTCAAACCTAAATGTTTGTTGGGTTTATATCTACAAAGACGTGTTTTCATTTGACATCCCGTGTTTTCTATCAGACACTATCGTCTACATGTCATCTGCAAATTGAAACCTAATGTACTTAATATTGATAAAATGGGAACCAACAGAAGTGGTAGCGAGAAAGAAACTGTAAAAATTGGAAAATACATACATGAGTTTTTGTAGATTTCCGAGAATTCTTAAATTTAAGTCTCATCTCAAAGGGAAACACCTAAAAATTAAGTATACATGTTATATATACATATATATATGTACATGAGAATTTGTATAAGACTCTGAATGGTTTTAAATAAGTGGTCTTCTCATATTTTAAATTTTTGAAAACTATCACTGTATTTGCGTACTCGTGCCCAAAAAACCTGAAAAATAGTTACAATGAAGAAGAATGAAAAAGAAAGTTTAGTTAATTTTTTCAGTTTTCTTATTGAAAGAAACCGGCCCTTAGTGGGTGTCAACATGGTTGCCGTATAAAATATTTCGTTTGTGCCATAATTTTTCCCAAAATAGACTAAAAAAAATGCAGTTTGCCATAATTTTGAAGGTATATTTGTAGCTAGTCTACTTAATTTTTTTGAAGGAGATTCTCTTTGAATGCGTCATGATGCGGTATCTCAAACAATAATAATATATATAATACAATAATAAATTTGTTTTTGTTATTTTTTGGCCTTATAACAATTATATTCAACAATTCATATTGAGCTCGAGGCCGTTTTTTAAATGAAAATTTATTGTGGAAAAGCAACAATAATTTGAAAAAATGGTAGAATGATAGCTATTTCGGAAATCACCACATTTCCTCATCAGACTTCTTACAGTAGGATTCGAACCGACGATCCCACTGACTCAGTCAGTTGCCTATGCACCGTGCTAAGTACGCCTTGTAAATTATCGTTTGCTTTTTTTCCACTATTTTCATTTTTGTTATGCCAACACAATAAATTTTCATTTAAAAAACGGCCTCGAGCTCAATATAAATTGTTGAATATAATAATAAATAATAAGATTGACACTTCTTCCGGTGTACAATATCCGCAGTCGAGTTACAATATATATATTTCTACTTACATTACGTACATACAGACACATATTTACCTTGATTTGTCACCTGCGCCATCTACTACTAAGTATATA